ACACACACACACACAAACACACACTCAAACACGAGTGTATAATTGCGAATACACACATATAAACAAACAAACAAACACACACACACACACCCACACACATATAAACAAACACACACACCACACACACACACACACACACACACACACACACACACACATAACCACATATACATGTACACACAAAACCACGCACAAGTCACCTACTTAATTTTAGTAAGAGTTTTATGGCACTTGCAACACAATAAAGTCATATAAGTGCCGAAGATTAGAAGTGTTACAAGACAGTAACAAACATAAAAAAGACGGAGGAGAGATCAGGACGATAGATGTTTGATAGGAAAGAAGGAGAAACCCTCTCAGAGCACCCACCAACCATCCACAAACCACCCACATGTTCACACAGATTGACAAACAAAACAAACAAACAGAACACATTAACACAACAATAATAACCACAACACACTGGTCGCTTACGGGTAGGTAGCGTCCCTGCTTCCATTGACCACCTTTTCTATCACCTGAGACACGCCCCCTGCCTCCACTGTGCCCCGCCCCAACAGTGCCAGAAGCCCGCCAGTGATGATTACTGTCTGGAACACGTCAGTCCAGATCACAGCTTTGATGCCACCCTTTTGAAATGGTATTAGTAGAGTTGTAAATTAATGCATGAACATTTGAATAACAGTTTTTGATGGCTGAATGCCTGTCGAAATTAATGTTTAAGGGCTGGTTACGTCAATTCATGGACATTTAAAGCACAGGCGTGATTTTCCCTGTCGAAATGAAATAAGTTACCCATGTTTTAGGGTAAGTTGAATCAAATCGAAGAGAAATAAAGTTAAAGCAGAAACAACGGATGAAGGGTTTAGGTACAGTTTTAAGGGAGTGTTTCAAGAAATGTGTTGTCGTGTGAAATCTCATCCCAAAAGACCAAATCAGTATAAAACTGTGTATGTCAGTAACATTAAATGTTGTAATATGGGTCAGAATATGAATGAAAATATAAAATACATCGGGGGAAAAGCTTATAAATATAATAATAATAATAAATAGCATTTATACTGCGCATTTCCATTTCCTAAAAGATGCTCA